CTGCACGTTCTGAAGCATGACTTTACATTTTGTAGATGCGAGCCGCATTCCGAAGGGCAGTGTGGAGATGGCCAGCTTGTGCAACAGAGATTGTACTTGGACGTCGTCTTCCAGATTGATAAGGTTCTCAACGACAAAAATTCGAATGCCGATCATTGGAGATATCCCAACGTTCATCTCATTCTTACATCAATGAAAACCGAACGAGAACGGAGAGAGCGGACATCCTTACAGGATACAGCTTTTTGTGGAGAAGCTTCTGGTAGGCACACCGTAAACTCACACGTCACAAGGAATATGAACATAGGGAACGGATTATGTTCACAAACTTCTGTGGCATATCCTGTTGAGCACTGACTGACCGACGGAAGCGAACACACCGTTGAAGTCAAAAAACCAAGATTCTGAGTTGCCTGTACATATGGTCTCGCTCTAACACCTGATGGAGTGTCAAAATGTGGACGACGTAACTGATAACCGGTCAAAATCCTGTGTGATTCTCACGGGTCGATAATTCTCGGGCTACCGTAAGACGCCCCAGAATCAGTGATACTGGAAGCGTTGTTACAACAAAAGTTAAACTTACACCTCTGTGTCTACTACATTCACTGCTACATTGATTTCACTCTTTGAAACTGGCTGAAGAATTCACCATCATCCTTGGACATGGCACGTGGTAGGTCGCCAGGATAAGTAGCACGAGTACGTTTGAGTAGTGATACACAATTGGATACTTCTGAGGCTGGAGGAGATTTAACGTTCACAGTTGAACTCCGGCTGTATTATTTTTCGGAACACTGGACCCACTGGTCCAGAAGTTCTCCTTGGGTGGTTATCAGATGGCTATCCTCTTCCCTGATAGATTCGCTGACCAGATGGCTCCCGACTACGAGTCAAACGAATAAGGGGGAACAAGCTACACACGTTTTCTAACCTCTCCTAATTCTCTGGCCTTTTGGGCCCATCAATCTTCTTTATCTGCTTGGACACTCGGTGTCGTCCAGCGCCGAATGATGCGTCGGTTTGGACTGCGGTTTCAGCCAGGAGGAATCTGTCGCCGGGCCCTCCGTAAACCATGGTCTTATCAGAGATTGATTGAGGGTGACTGGGCTATACTGTGGGTGAGAATTCCTACGCTTGTTAGTGCTTTCGATATCTGTTACTAATGGCCGTTAGTAGACAATGTCGTGCCACACGGCAAGTGTTGTTGGAACCTGTTCTGATAATTCTGTTTTATTCTTAGGTGCATGGACTTCTTAGTGGCCTAGCGAATTGTTCGTAGTTCGCGTAGTCCTGGAAAATATAACGAAAAGTAGCAACGAGCAGATGGATGGTCGGAGTTCAGTCTGGTATTTCAGAAGGAGCGGTTGGCAGTGATCGACTGTCACCATCTGTATCTGGTGGTAATGTGGTCTAATTCGATTTACTGGCGGCCGACTTGTCTTTGCATTGCTGATGAACACTTTTTGATCGGCACACATCTGGAGTAGGCGTTCTCCGTTGTCTCTGTTTCTCGTGTCTAACCCAAGAGAACCACGCAGCTGGGCCTTAGCATCACTCACCTTAACTGCCTGAGCGTTATTTTTGTACAAACTACTTTTGTGAGTCAGAGAAGTTCAATTGTTCCTTAAATACAACCGCGTGATGAGTTCGTTCAAGCCTGGGATGCATCGGATATGTACATGTCGAGCGTGTAGTATTACAGCGATTAGTTCTTACACCATAAGTATTCTATCCATTCTGTTCTCACGAGAAATGCGGTGGGAATGTATGGTATTGGATGGATCCTCCTTCATTATCAAAAGACCGATTGATGTTCGAAGGCTCTTCATTGTTCATAGGTTGGTTCAACGTGCCAACCTGTATGGCATATTCTGATCGTAAAGTCACAAACTGCAACTTGAACGCATTTACCTCCTTCCTAGTTTCCGCTGGGCCATTTTACATGAACTTCTACGTCTCCCAAGAAAACTCTTATGGTTTGTAGCAAATTTCAATTGATTTCTCCGAGGGGTTATCCTTGGAAGAAATCGTTTTGATAAAGTGGGACCAGTTGCCAAATATACCAGCCTTTCTATCAATAGGAGGTAAAGGCGACCGTCAACTGATGCCGTACCAGAAAGTCTATATTATAGGAACACAGTAATACGGAAACTTATTTTGGGGGTTTTGCGGGATAAGTATTTTTGTTCATAGCCACACCACTCTCGTTTGAACGGTCGTGTTCCTGTTCTGGCGTAATTATTCCGGTGAATCCACATCAAAGGGAAGCACTGGACTCGAGTTTCGCTCTTATTAGAGCTCATCAGCAGTGCATATCCAATGGCCTTGAGGGGATTTGAACCCCGGACATCTGGTGTGGACTCACCGGAATAATTACGCCAAAACATGAACACTGCCGTTCAAGCGAGAGTGGTGTGGCTATAGTAGGAAAACGTCAACATCATGGGATTCATGTTCCCGAAATACATTTACAGTCTTGTTCACTTGGGATGTAGGAATGGTTGGGCTCTAAATGAAACAGAACGGAACGCAAAACAAAACTGCAAAAGTGATGTAGCTTGTTGGCTGTTGATTCACGCTTTGCTGTCTAGTCCTAAATAGGCATTTTCAAGACCGCTGCCACAGGGAGAACACGGATATAACCAAGCATACAAACATCCGAACAACGACGAAGTGCAACCCAACATTTCTGATTCTGCTTTACGGTTGAAATGTCAGACTTGCGTGTTCTGAACTACATAACACAGTGGTAAGCTTCATGATGAAATGAACTTTACCGCAAGCGCACAATAATGTCAAATCACTGCCTCAAGTGTCACAACTTCGCTAAATTTATCATCAATAGGGATGGGATGAAACGTACGACCGTTGGATGAGCCTTCAGCCGGAGTTGACCTAAGACATGCATTAAACCAATCAGTAGTCAAAAACTAAGGAAAAGCTTTAGCTGTTTTCTCCTCATTGAGACACATTAGGAACATGCGTTTCATGATTCTATGGTTCGGATCTCGCTACACTGCCTGTAAGGCTTTAAATATTATACTTTGGCAATGGCAAATTGCCTCATATGAGAGATGTTTCACTCAACGAAATGTGCCCATGATGAACATAAAATTTCCTAAAAGTTGCGTAAACTCGAGGATGCGGTCAACTTAGCTTGGGAGCTGGAGAGCGAGTAGGAGGTGGTTCTTCATACACCTATCCAAAATGTAATAGATTCTGAGCTCCATCAAAATGTCTGATTCCAAGCGATGGTGAAACTGAAATAATTACCTCTCGATGGCTGACTTCACTTGTGGAGGAGAACCAGGATTAGAAACCAGACGTTTCCGATTCTAAGTATATTCCTTCAACCTAGTACAAGCTGAAGAATTCCTCTGAGGTTGCATCCAACAGTTTTTCACACTCTAACCAACCTCGCAAACAAGCATTTAATTTTTAACTAATTTTTCAACTAATTTTATTGTAGTGGTAAATTAAATTTGGCACCAAAACGACTTCCAAGATTGCGCTTTTCCTGGGTTGTATTTCAGCGAGTGAGCAGTTCAGGAGTGCAAGATGATACACTTTCGAATGCTAGGTGAATATGGTCAGCTGAGGCTTTCGGTTTTCGATGTTGGTTGAAAAATAGTCTTTTCTGTGTCAGGGATCTAATCTAACGAGTCATTCACAGTAAACTGAGTAGCGCTTGTAAATGGTTGTCGGTTCAGACACCTCTACTCAACTTTTCGACCGATCATCTAGGATAAAAATAAAGTAGCGGCGTGCTTAGACAATGCTTGCAAATTATGAACTTTGGCACGGTAAAAGGTTCAAGTCTATCAGTTTGCTACCTATCTGTTTCACTTTATGGTTACAAAACCTGACCGGGCATAAACAAGATAGAGATTTTCTGGCATTGGTGTCCGACAAACATTCTTAGATTACGTTTTCAGCAACGCGTGTCAAATGATGAGGTTCGCCGTCGGTATTTTGGCGTCGAACATCTAAACAACAGATTCGACTCCGATAGTTTGGCATACTCCTGGATGCCAACACAGACATCGTCCGAGATTATCTTGCTCTCAAATCGTGTAAGAATGGCGTTATCGTCAGGGTGGAGAAATAAAAATCTGGATCAACAACGTTAAGGCCGATGGTCAATGTCTGGAACAGGATATTTACGGCCCATTACACTGGAACCAATATCGGACCAATACCTGCGAGAGCCTTGCAACCGATCGCTACACTTGGGGGAATGTTTTCCAAAACTTGCCAGTTGGTTCCCAACAACAAATGAAGTATCATTGGCGCATCTGGTTCAATCTCCAGTTGTGTTACTAGCACAAATAATCTCGTTAACGGTGTCTTAAGTGCATTAGCCCTAGAGAAAGTGAGTTTACTTAATCCGTAGTCAGTCAGCATAACTCAGACTCAGAATGCAAGAACTAGTCACAACCGACAACAAACACCAGCGTACGGCTATTGGACGACAGTGATTTGCCGAAGAAGTGGATCAATATGAACGATCAAGATATGTTGAACTGGTTCGCCATCCTTACAGTGAGTAGATACCGCTGCGCGGATGAACACTAAATGCAGGCTGAAACGCGACTTACCAAGGACGCAGCCTTGCTTCTTTCTTGTGTAGATTCGGAACTCGGTTGAACTAATTGTGCGGACCCAGACATCCAGACCAGCTTAAAAGGAACGACTGGGTAGATTAATTTGTCCGTAGACCCAAACCTTCCTAGCAAGTCCCACAGTTTATTTCCTCCTCATATCTAGGGGTTGGGTAGAATTCACAAGCAGTTCTTAGAGCTGTTGCCTCCTTTCGCGTAAGTTATATTATACTTATTCTGCAAGATATATATATNTATATATATATGATCTGGCACCCATTTTGGAATAATCCGTCGCGTTGAATTGAACCGGGGACATCCGTGCACAATAGTTAACACCATATACAGCCTATGCTGAGTTGTATGTAAATCCGCTTTAAAGCCTTGCTTTCTTCATTAGGAAGACTGGAAGAAGAGCCATGCATTGAAGAAAATAGCTTGTATGCACCAGCACCACCGAGAATGCGACTGCGCCACGTTTGACTGTGTCTCTAGCCATTGATGTGTCCAGTCTCGGGGTCCATACCCAAGGAGACGACAATAATCAGCACAGCTGAGCTTTCTGGTAATGAATTTCATACTTTGCTGTCATTATATACGAATTCGCTGACCAAAATATCCAAACTAGTGGATGACTATGCAGAATATATATATATATATATATATATATATATATCCCCAAAACCCTTCTACTGCCACACCAGATTCATACAATTCATCTTGACTGATGAGGTCTTGTCCCTGATAGCGGCAATCAAACTTGATTTATCCTCCCGTCTAATGCTACGCTAATCATCCTCGAAAATCAAGGGACGAGGGTAAATATTGCGAAAATCATTAGTTGCCTAATGGTTCTGTGTATAGCACTAGGCTTATGTGTTTCCAATACACTTTTTCCAGGACAGTATTGTTGCACGACATGTGCTGGTATGAAGCGTCCAATCAGCCACACCCAAATCTCGACCGCATTCATTCCGTACGAAGAAACTCACAGCTGTTGTTTTCAATCACCAGTGTTTTTGAATAAAGCCGAATAAACCTTAGCAAACACAGCGCTTAATATAACATAAAATATTCGCAAATTTGCGAATAAACTTGAAACGATTACGGAAAAAGTAGAAACTTCAGATGACGTTTATCTGCATCCCGCCACACAACTGATATATTCGAATGCGTCTTGTCGCTCAGACAGTATTAGTACAATTCCTAGCTTTAATAGTAAGAAACCCCGATATAAATGAGTTGAATTTGGTAAGTTTCAATGTATAGACCGTGGCATTTGTCGTTTTGGTGTGCCCTCTTGGCGGCTCATCATGCCGATAATCATTTGATCAACAATCTGTGACAAGTTCTGTCATGACGATTCCACTTGTTACCAGATTCACCAACTGGCAGGATGGTTCATCATCCAGGATGTGAAAGGCATTTTAGTTCAACAGACCTGTTCAGTGGCATTTGTTGAGGGCAATGTGCCATTAAAACCATCGGATCGATCTCAATCAATATGTGTTCATATGTTTTCAGACAAGGCGGTATGCAGTGCAGAGCAGACCATCCTTCACAGTGTTTTATATAGACAGTGTGCTAGGTGATGCCAAGAACTGTGAGCTGCCTCTCAAGTCACAGCCGTGTAAAAACTAATAATGGAATATGTTGTCTGAACAAGAATTCCGCTATTCAGTGTACAAAGGAACACCTGATGACTTCAAATGTCTACCACTCACTACACGAAAGCAGCCAAGAAAGGAAGGCCTTAAGAGCATGGCAGCAATCGTGTACTGAATATGAAAGTATGCTAAGTAGCGATCTTAGCTGTTATAAATCAGTGGAGAACATTCATGGGTTACTGGGCAACAACGAATATTCCGATGAAGAAATACACGTTAGTTGTGAGGCAGCCGGAAGTAGAAATAAGGTCAACTTGGAAAATGTGACGCGGTCATCCCTATACGAAGTTTTAGGGGATGATAAAATTCCTGAATTTTATTGGCAGGCATTAGAAGATGCTGTGAAAAGGAGAACGAAGAGAACACCTTCGAAAGTGTCAGTTGATCCAAAGAGTACTTCAGTTCCTTCTCGGATGCCATGGAGGAATAAATACGCTAATTCATCGGAACTATTTGGCAAGCTTACCACGTGTTCTCCACGTCCAGGACAGCCAGTGCTATTTCAAAGTTCAAAGCCAACTGCACACCATACAGGCCGCAGTTTCACAGGCCGAATGCAACAGGACAAACAATGTACTAATCCAAGATCGAATTATTCTCGATCAGTTGGCTTATGCCAGAAAGCAGGTCCTCACGGTGAGGATTTGTATAGATCGATCTCGGCCACGCTTTCTACACAAGAAACTCGAACATGCGATTTACACACTCCTCCATCGCCATTGAGAAGCCTTACTCCACCTTTCTGTACCCCGAACACAAAATCATATAATTCATCGGATAAGCTGTCTCACTCAAAGAATAAGGACGTATCGGGTGGTAATGACAAAGTGTTGTCTAAGGGTAACATAAGTAGGCTCAGTCCAAGTAATAGGGATAAAGTGACACAAGATTTACGGCAATCTCCCAAATTCACAAATCCAACCAGATTAACAAGAACACTTCCTGCAGTTGTGGTGCGATCAACAGCACTCAAGACTGACTCATATGGAGGTCGACCGGCCATGACCAAGGATAATCAGACCCAGACGGATCCAGTTGCACCTAAAATTGAGACTAATCGACGACGAACCGCCAGATCTCCAATAGTCTCTGGTGATCAATCGATCAGCAGTACAGCTCGATGCTTCACGCCTTCAACCGTGGAAGACGTGAAAGTCAACCCAGAAAGCCAAAAGCATAAGAAACCCGTAGATTACTCAAATATAAGTTGCGGCAGATGTGTGTCACCAATGAGTGTGTCTCGAGCAAGTATTCTTGGTTTGCCCTCACCACTGGATAGATGGGATGATGAACCTTCCCCAACCTGGGAAAACCTAGAGACAGCGGACACCTGTCCACCATTGTCAAGCCCTAAACTGTCAGCGCTATCCCCGGCTCGTGCTCAAAATATATCTTACCCTTTGGAAAACGAACAAAGCGGTAAATGCGTTGGTATGGCGAAAAAGCTGTCGATACCGGGAGTGTACTCATCTAAAAGGTCTTATGTGAAGAAACCAGGTGGCACAATGAAAGCAATGGTCAAAAGGTCCCGGAGAACTTTTCGCATCAATTCTGAGACTTCAGCCCCCACCAGAAATACTTCTGCTCCGCCTGATGTAGCTAAAGATCATCCTACGGAAAATCTTTTTCAGTCGGCTCTGAAAAGTAAACATCCGGACAAAATGAGCCCATCGCAAAAATCACCAAGTCCGAGTTCTGATCGACACACTTGCAGAACACAAGATACACAATGCAACGGAGCTTGTTATCTTAGATGTTCAGTACCAGTTCTTCACAACCCTGTTTTATCACCAAGTTATCCGCTGTTTGCTTTAGCCTGTCCGGTCATGCCGTTTCTTACGTCCAACACACGCCCGTGCCACAGATGTCAAAATTTGTCCACCCTTCAAACGGACCTACATAAGTATGCTTCACAGGGTCTTCCCTCCTTTTGGTTCGACAGCCAAATACACAGAAATAGTGGACAGGCGGATTCAAAATCACCTTATCTTTCCAAAAGTGAACCTTTTTCATTAAATGACTCGTCGAGAACTTCGCGTATCCGCCGAAAACGGGAAAAGTGGAACTTTTGACCGTTTAAAATTAAAAAAAAACAGAATCGGGAATAGACAGAAAAAACCCTTAAAGTATTTTTGCCGTAGCCGAATCCTGAAAGACATACTTCGCTTGGTGGTCATTTTTGCGCGCTAACCTTGAGCCTATCGATCGACCGGAAATTTAAAAGAAACTGGCTCGGTTTTCATACTTTGCTTCATGTACACGATGCCATAATACTTGGCCTCGCTTCCGATCACTGTCAGCCACGACATTAAGGAGATTTAACTGGACGGTTCATCAGCCAGTATGAATTGGGTTGCATTTGCTTTAATTTACACTTAATTCTTCCCTCCTACGTACCTCTGATTTATGTTTAGCGTCAAGGCAGTTCGTCTGCTTCGGAAAGCAGAATGTTTTGCAATTCTTACTTAACACTACATCGGACGTGTGTATCCAAGTAGAGCTGAGCAGAAGACTCAAAATATGATTGAGGTATCAACTTCGAGGAAGTGTGGCAGGAATACCCCTTCAGAGGTGGAGTCGGCTAATTCTAGAAACTTCGGCACAGTGTCTTCTGCACTTGAATCATGCCCACATACTTATGGTTGCATAATCCTCCAGCAGTGGTTTGGACTGACTTGTTATGGCCAGAAGTTTGAGGAAGGAGCCCTTCTTGAACCTAATCATCCGAATACATACGAATTCCTGGTAAATTTAGAACAAGGCGCCAGCAACTTTAAATCGAAGTCGATGACATCCAAAATGATCTCACTCGCAGGTTTGCTACCGATCAAATATCACTCAACCGCCGAAAAGTGCATTGATGAAAGATATCGGCCTGTTGAACAGTCAAACAGACGACAACGTTTTGAAACTATGAACCGACAAATGTTATCTGGTATTGTATGGACTCTGTGCCTCTTACAGAACTTTTATGCACCGTTTATTAAAAAGTCACTATCAAATCACAACCGAAAGGTATATATTGATTACTCAAAGTTGCATTTAGATAAACAGATCAACTGCAATTCAAATGACAACTCTGACGGAGAGCTTTCACGACAAGATGACCTAATCAAAGTGAATTCAACCACATCAGCGAAAGGACAGAGTGTTCATTCCCCGCAGTCATTGTCGTTGGGTAGACGAGGTATGCAAGACACTGATAAGATTTTCGTCTCCACGTGTATTGTGATTGGGCCTGATGCACTGATTAATACAAGAGCTGGTAACAGTTTCGTGCCAGTCGCTCCAGAACTTGATGAATTTCGTTCTCCAAATATTCCGCCGGGCTGCACAGAAGCGTTACGAAATACGGCCGGCCCGACACCAAATCCGTGCAGTGCAATCCGCATAATAAGACATCCATCCACCAGAAAACCATGTGAAGTTCAGATGCAACGTCACTGCTGCCTCTGCTGTCATTGTAATATGATGAACCTACAGACTTTCGACCCAGTTGAACACTCTTCAGGAAATCGTGGGCTCACGGAAGAGCACGATCGAAATCGGGTTGAAAATTTACGTATGGCGGATACCAGAGAAAAAGGAAGTGCGGTCGCTTCACCATATCACCTTTGGGGTAAAACTGAGCTTCATAATAGGGAGCAGACTGAAAGCAAGATTAGTAGAAAACAAGATCCCGAAGATCGTCGCTCAAACGATTTAAAGCAATACAATCAATTTGTGAGGGAAATTCTATCAGAACAATCACATGAAACGATAAGAAAAACTCGGAATAAAGCTGAAAGGTCATCAATATCCTTAGGCAGCTCATCCCTGAAGAAAGGTGCACCCGTACGCCGAGAACCTTGCATATACAAGGTCATACCATACGCAGGGAGCAGCGAATTCGAATCACCAACTCAAGTGGAGGCTAAGTTTGGTTCAGATTCGACGACTGAAGCAAAAGCAAGTGAGACAAAATTTGCCAGGATAGAGAGGTCGGGGGTTTTAAAAGAGGTTTTTGTGGAGGTGGATCACGAAGTATCTGTGACCGAGGTGACCGGACCTATCATACAAAATGACTTAGTTACTCGGACGGAGAAAAATCGCAACAGTTCTCTAAATATTAATAAAAGCCTCGATGGGAGAGAGCAGGTACCAGTTGTTGCGGTGGAAACCGATCGGTCAAACATCATGGACGAACGAAGTGTTTTGACAAGCGTGGAAGCAGTTAGTGCAAATGCGTTGAACGAGACTTGTTTACCAGTGACAGCGGCTGTGCTGAGCGGGAACAGAAAACGTGTGAGTTTGCAACCGAGCTGTCGAGCAACCGAACAAAATTTCACGGAACCGTATAAACAAGAGACGCCATTACAGACTGATATTTTCGAAGCTGGAGGTCATTCCTTAGCTCAAGATGAGTATTCGATAGTAAAATCCAATGAAAGATCAGCAGTGCTTGTTCCTATCCAACAGCAGGAGAGTTCAGCCGATGTATCAGAACAGCCATTAGCTCTATCAAACACGAGGACTAGTCGAACGTCTGGTTACTCTCTAGATATTATAAGGATAGAGGAGGGACCAACCGGGTCATGTGATTTCAACTCAAATGATGGGCTGAAAGATGCAGCATTAAGTCTCAGAATAATGGTGGCCTCTATTCAACCTCAGGAGGCTCTGACACTGTTTTCAAATACTGAGGATGGCCATTCAAGATTCACACATGAGCGACACTCAGACCCCAGTCTACCTGCCACAAGCATATCCATCACATACCCTTCGGTGTTCCAAACACCAGGGACCGATCGAAGGAGTCATATAAAATTAGACAATGGACAGGAGTTGAAACAAATAGTATTGTTTCGAGCCGCTGATTCAACTCCCCAACAATTCCGAATAAGCTTGCGCTCCAGCCTAAGTCACCCTTCCGAAGCGAAAGATGAAGATGATGGGCATGCTCGTACGAAAGAAGCTAAGGAGTACCATGTTGGCCAGTTGAACTTTACGAAATCGTTCGCAAACGAGGGCTCAACGAATGGAAAAGGTTTATGCACGACTCCGATTGTAGCAACTGATAAGGACGCTTCTAGTCGTGCATCAATTGAAATAGCCCCATCAAGCGAGAATCTACGAAAGGTTAGCGAGGATCTATCCACTGGTTTGGTACTATCTGCCAATACCGCCAAACTCAGCATAACGCATTCGGAAGCGACAATATTAGACGTTTACATATACAATAGACAACAACCACAACAAAATACAATTACGATCGACCAGTTAAAACCACTACAAGAAGCTCAGTCGCAAATGATTCTAGACGTTCCTTTGCATGTCGGGATTTCATGTAGCGAAAAACTGCAATCTCAAATGTATTCTGCGCTAGAATTTGCACTTTCTGATGCATGGCCTGGAATTGATTTGCATCAGACGCCTAATCCTCAAGATGCTACAAACGAGGAATTCATTGTAACTGGAATGAAACTGTCGGAAGCGCCCATGTATCGGCGGCTTTCTAAGGAATCTCTAGTTGGAATTCCTGAGCGCTCGTTACTAGAAACATTAGACTTATACTCACCTATGAATCTGCCCATGATGTATGACGAGATTATACAAGATAGCGTGCTCCCCACACAGAAAACCTATTCTGCTTTAGAGTTTGCTCTTTCTGAGACCCGGGCAGGACTCGTGTTTGCTTCGTACCAGGAGTTATATCCTCAAAACTCTGCAAAAACCTTCTTACCAACAACAGAATCACTACGGGTAAGACGTTTGTCGGAGGCTAGTCTGCATGAACGAATGTCCAAAGAAACATTAGAGAGTATTCCGGAACAATCAGTGCCCAAGCAGTTGGGCTCCTCTTCACTCACCACGATGCGTGTTGATATCTCAAATGACGGAATGTTGTCCCTCCAGAGGAAGCATTCTGCTTTAGAAGTGGCACATTCCAAGGCATGGGCAGGAATTACACCTCACACACATCATCCTTACAAAGACACACCGGGGGCTTTCTCCTTGACAAGAGGAAAGTTTCCGGAAGATAATCTATCAGAGGCTTTTATGCATCATTCATTATCAAAGGATTCACTAGCTGAAATTCCTGAGCATCCGTTACACAAGCCATCAGATTCTCTTGCACCTGTGAGTTCTCCCACGCATGGACCATATGACTATGGCGGCAAAATGCCTGAAGATGAAAGAATGGGTATGGATATGGCCACAGTACCTAGCTCTGGTCAACAGAGTGACTTCAAACTTGTGCAGCAACAAAAGTTATGGGTTGCTGACCATGGGTTTGCACAGAATGAAGATGAAACTACGGAGATCAAGGCCCGGTCGGACAAGGAACCAGCAAAGGAATCTGATGCCGTTGCAGCTCCTGCAGTGTCTAACCAGTGGGATGAGCCCATACGCAGCTGTCATTGTCGCCAGCTCATCTGCACAGCATGTGGCTGTCGATTTCACCGCAGTAAATGTGGCTGCCTTAGAAGATCTAAGCTGCACTGTGATTCTATTAAAGTGGAACAAGCGTGCAACACAGCAGCATCTCATTCTCATAACCCCCCGATGACTAAGCTGCCATCCACATGTCGGTTCGGTGATCAGGTTCTTGTCGAACTTGGGTGCTGTCTTGAAAAATTCGGGTCTATTGATCCCAGCAAAGACCACTGTGTGGAGGCTAATTCGGGAAAACCGACGTCATCAATTCCGATACAGAGACGGTTGGTTTGCTTGTGCAGACCACTACCATGGTATCAGTGGATAAGAGAGCCTGTTGCATTCCCTGAGCTTGTATCAAGTCCAATTCGATCGGGTCGAAAATGCAAGCGAACTTTCCGATGACGCATCGAATTATATTTTCAAGTCCAGCCGTATTATTAGTTATCGCACTCTGGTGAAAAATGTTCGGAATGACTTTTTTGTGTATATAGCTTTCTGTTAATTTATGTTCTGTATCGCACTGATTTTTCATGACTGACTGTACATACGCGCTCGGATAGACCGTTGGTTTTATCCAATGGTTGTTTAGTACGCTAAGGCTGAGGTTGCTATTCCGTTAGTACTGAAGCAGGGAGCATGTGGACTGCCGAAAAGAGAACGACATTCGCTCAAAGGTTACCGAAAAGTCGATGAGTTTCCTAACCGACTGTCAACAGCCCGACAGTCCATCCCAAAAGGAACTGACACTGGTGGGAATACAAACAGCCATTTCATCATCATCACTGTCAGTTGTAATAACCGCGTACTCGTCGTACAGTGGTTGTAGCTGCCGCAGTTTCGTTCACCGATGGTTTGGGGGGGAGGGTTAGGTAGTTGTGTATTGCAGGCGGGAGCTGATAAATTTGTGCATAAATCCAGCACTGTCAGTGGGCTGTCAAGTGGAGAGGGGTTGGAAAAGGAGCTATGTATTAAAGGCAACAGATTGGACGCACGAGCGCCATTGAGAGCGCGACTGGGCCATGTCTGACAATATCTCTAGCCCTTGATGTGGCCCGTCTCGGGGTCCTCATCCAGGAAGACGGCAGTGACCAGCGCAGCTGAGTTTGTGGTAATAGCTTTCATACTTCGCTGCCAAGTCATTGTTTGGCCGCCTCTGGCTCTCTTCCACCCTTCACGTGGTTGTGCGAAAAGACCTCTGAGGCAGAAGGTATTCTGTCATGCGGGGTACATGTCCTAACCAGTGTGACCTATGAAGTGTGAGTAATTCATCTATCGCGGGAAAGTTCCTTTATTCCTAGGACCATCTGGTATATCTCAGCATTGCTAATCCGATGTTCCCATCAGACATCACCAGTGCTTCGGAGGCACTGAGAGCTTTCATATGTCCTCTACGCGTAGAGGCCATATTTATGCTCCATAAAGCAATATGGATCGCGCTGACGCGTGTAAGCTCTGCAATTGACAGAGAAATTGATATCACGTCGGTACCATGTGTCAGAGCTCTGTAAAACCTGCCTTGGCTTTCCCAACTTGAGTAACCTCATCTATGGTTTATTTTTTTAATTTTTGAGGAGCATGGTCACAAACGTAACACAAATGAAAGCGATGGATGTGGAAGGGCTAGAGGAAAACAGATAAGAGAGAAGTGTCCCATTCGAAGTTCCAGTCAGACAAGATGAACCCCAACAGGTGTAAGAATGCTTGGTATGGAAACACGCTAGTAAAGACCGACCAACAGTGCTGAATTCTCAAGGTGCGGTAAGCACTAGCACACTCAAGACTCGCACATTAGGCACAAACCGTCATACTGGGTTTGGTGTGAGAATCAATGGCAAGAATGTACACTCAACGCCATGTGCCACGCATAAAAGTGTTGTAAGTACCCAAAGAGCTCACAATGGCAAACAAACACATGTCACTTACTGTGATTCTTGGAAGTCCCAGTTCAATAAGAGCACTGGTGGACTGAAGAAAGCAGATCTGTCGACAAGAAATGATCATCGGCTGGTGGACCAAAAAGTTAACATGACAATCGGTTGCACGTATGGCTGAGATTATGACGAGGGAACACTCATCAGTACCATACTTCTGCTTCTTCTCATTCCACACAGCCACTCCGCGCCAATCCGATACTATGCTTACGTCTATTACAGTTGCTAGGTGCGCTCGTTATAATTGGGCTGCAAGGGAACCCGTGAAACGTCTCCGTCACCTGAGATACACCGTCTTTGAAGGGTTGAGAGAAACTCCACCGACGTCTTTCATCAAGCCTGAACTAATCGCTGTCCGGAAGCGCTACTAAAAGGACTGGAAAATATGCAACAAACTCGCCCGTTCCACGGCAAGGTCTTCTGGCCACCACGATCAACCCGAGCGCTTTTAAATCTCGTCCTAAATAGGCTGGATCGGAGCTGGATACAGCGGATAAATAACTGAGGAAACATCCGTTCTGGAAATACAACCCATTGATTCGAAAGAGGCGAAGCAACCAACTCTTGTAAACCGCGACCGCAAGCGAACTGTTTGCATGGGATTCCAAGAGTAACAGCGAAACCCACGCTTTGCTTAAACCAGACGCTACAGTCATCGGCCTCTGACGAGTAGGCCACTGTTTGACCGATGATTTTGTCAGGGCCACCAGATGATGATTCGTCCTGCTGTGGTTGCCAGTTAAATATCCGTCATCTGGTTTTGATGCTGATAGTCTATCGACCGGGAGAAAACAGCTCCAATCTCACGAACAGCGCGGTCTGCGCGTCACAAGACGGATATAAATTGTTAGCCAGGCGGAAGAAATTGTGACTTGTTGGGATCAGCGGACACCGTAATTCTTCACTCGGTCAAGATTATCCGTATGAATGGGGTGTGCGTCCATGAAAGTCATGGACGTGAAATCGACAGTGGGCTACCAAGCCAGCTTTCGATTAGCAGCACTTGCCACGTCCCTTGGACCTGAGTCTCTCCTATGTACTAGCTGGAACTGGTGCGGAGGCGCCAGATGTCGAAATTAATCATCACATTGAAACCAAACAGGTTGGTTAGCCTGCCTAGAGTTGCTGATCGCTTATTTTACCTAGACTGACGTTCGGGCTACCCAGTGGACACCAAGAGGAGGTGGTTCAGCGCGCCAGTCCACCGGAACTTATACAATTGCGCCGAAAAACAAATATACCTACCAATTCGACTGGTTCAACTGAAAGCACGAAGTTTGGGTTTGTTCCCATCCAGTCTTGCAACAGCACTTTACACTTTGCCGGTGTGAACCGTACACCAAATAGCGCGGTAGAGTTATTTACGGTTTGAAGACAAAAATATCGCCCGCAGACTCAATGTCTCGGGAGCATTTCCACCCTGCACGTTTCAGATGCAGGCAGAGAAATTTCAAGCATCACGTTAATAACAAAGTCGAAAAGGAAGAGCGAAAGAGAACAGCGTTGTCTTACACCACTAGACGTGGTGAACTCTATACTCGTATCACATAAATTTGGAAGGAACTCCGCTGATCGCGATACATCGCCACAATTTCCGGCGACAAACACAGTCGAAAGCAGCCTTCAGATCAAGAATAACGACCGACTTGGGACGTTTTGGCGCCGTTGAAGAACTTGAGCAAAACAATACCAGAGTACCGTTGCAACCCAGTACAACACTCTCATCGCATACAATATTTCCACAACGGGAGACCAGGTACAAAAATGAGCCATCGCACTTACTTTTCACAATAGTTTTAGGGAAATTCAGTTGGATGTGTGGTTCCATCATATTCTTCAAAGTTTTCCGACAAAAGGGTGGAACTTTACACCTTACGATCCTTTTCGCAGAATCTGAACAATCCGCCAACCCCTTCTGACATTCTTATGATCCGTTGTTACTCGTCACGGTCGCGCATGGATGACACCAGTCAACCGGGTTTTATTCTTACATGTCTTATGGATTTGTACTTCCATTTATTCAGTCTTGTATGGATGTCGTCACGACCGCCATGTTCTGAAGTATCGAATTGCGTGACAGTGATTATCACTGGCATACCCCGCATAGCTCACATCGGTGCAGCGCAATCTAATGCGCTGGCCACTTTAGTGGTGATCTCAACATATTCCATAAGGCCCAAAAAACGAAACTGCTGTCAATCAGTCTCTTCACTTTGAAAACGCGTCAAGATATGGCTCTGTATCACATTGAATTGTCCTATACATGATAAAGGTTCGAGAAAGCCACAGATTGCTCGCATGTCTTATCAGTAGTATGCGTCGTTACACAGGTAACTCGGGTGCGTTTCTTGGTTGTTGATCTGTTCGCCGAGCTTAGCAGTTGGAGCGCAAGAGTTTCATGGCCAGTAGAGGTAAAATCGTCATTGCGGAATTGAATGGGTAAATTCCTCTTCTGCCCGTGTTCATGTAGCTTCTAGACAATATCTGATAGCTCTAAGGCAATTGGTTGGTCCAGGGGGTCTTCACGTAATTTCCTTGAGGATCAAAGTTGCGTCATGGTTTCAAACCGCTGGACCTAGTTGGTTCGTTCAGGGCCTTTACCTTGACAGCCCCGTCCCCCTGTTGTGATTAGGCCGTTTCTTCTTTGCTTTGCGCTCTGAATTCTTTCCATTTGACTGGTTGATTGAATGGCCTTCTAGACAGAGGACATCAGTTCAATTGAGACAATGTTCGAACACTTGCCGAAGCAAGAACAAAACACGAGCCAGAGTTTGCTGGATGAAAAGCAGTATGGGTACGGGTCTGTCAAACTGAAGGCGTCCAAAACAAATTACGTGAAGACCACCCGAGGACAAACCAATCGCTTTAGAGACACGAGATACTGCTTAGAAACTATATAAGCACATGCGGAAGATGGATTTACCTACTTAATCCCGTACTGACAACGCCACCTCATTTGTGATTCAACTGCCAAGCTTGTTGAAAAGATTAACAACCATGATAAACTGGGTTGGGACAGGCTGCCAAAACTGTGTTGCAGTGCCGCTGTGCAAATAGACGAAACCGAACTATCGAAGTTGCTTTAGAGTGACAGCAGGGTCGGGAACGAGAGTTACAGTGAATCAAGTTTTTCGTGAGTCAACCAGTCCGAATTTTCGGCTGTTACAGGCCGAAACGCACATGCTAAAAAGCAGTTCAGACGATTTGTTTATAGTATACGTTCCCGTATGCTGCAACGCTTAAGAATGAGCGGTAGTCAGACAGTTCAATGGAGTGGGGTTCGGAGCTACGCTTAAAACCTGTACTTCAACTACCATTAAGTTCCAAAAAACGGTCTGAAGCGCTTAGGTTCATGTGTGACGTTTTGACTGCATCGGTTGTGAAGCAACATATGCATTGCTGATGACTCGAACACAGGGATGATGTAACCGGAAGGATTGTGGGTAGTAAAAGAAACGGGAAGATTTGCCAGACTAACGAATTCCTTATCTGCTCACAAGTAATAGAAACAATACCAATAAAAGGTCCAACATGCGGACCTGCCCAGCTATAAGAGTAAACAGGCAATGAATATCACTTTCCAAACGAACGAGTCAAATGGAATGAGAACTGTGATCTCAGAGATCAGGCAAAACACATTTGGTCGGGAAGACAACCAAAGATTATGAATAATTGAATCTCAGAACAAGTGAACATCAAAAATCTCATTTCACCCAGTCAACAAAGTCTGAATCGAACAGCCAAAATGCGATGTCCACAGACGACAGTTTCGAAACAGCATATTAGGATGGACACGATACAGGTGTGCCGCCTTCATCGGTAACGCAGCCCGACGACCGCTCCATGTTTCCCGCTGGCACACTAAGGTCCCACAGTCCATATTTCCGTCCCGGTTCGGTTTGCCACAGACGCACAGTACCATCCTCACTACCACTAGTGAATACGTGACCATCCGGTGAGAAACGCACACAGTGAACTGGCCCAAAGTGCCCTTTGCACGTTTCTGAAAACAAAAAACACAATAGTCTGGTTTATAGGTAACCTTCGGCGAAGGGACAAGGTTTTCATGTTATGAAAGTGTGGCGCAAAATAACATGGAATCATCACTGAATGCAGCGGCGCTTAGGTTTCGATATAGACCGGCAGCGAGATCACTGCTAAACACAGAGATACAACATTCCGTCCAGTGTGTTATGCAACAAACCTATGGGTATAATCTGTGGCTCATCTGTCCACAGTCAGTAAAGAAAACACACCGGACATCGTGGGCGCTGTGATACTGTCTCATCAATCAAAGCACGTTCCAAATCCGAACGGGGTGCAAGGACACAGTACGTATTGTATGCACAGAACGCTAATTGAGGATGGACTCTAACCACAGGCCTCCTGCGTACAGAACGGATGTTCTAATTAGTTTGGAAAACAAGCCACCGTGATTTAGATGCCCGTGAACTAACAATATCCCGCATTTTATAATCCGAGGATTTGTACTGCGCTTCGTAGTACAACGTTCCAAAATACGTGTTTGGGCACCTTACACTTTGGAATTTCGATGGTCTCTTACGAAGATTTTCCCCATCTATCAGATAGCTTGTTGCGGATATCAATTTGGATAACAGTTTCCCAAAGGAAGACCGTGAAGCAAGAGAAAACAATCAGATGCTGAACATTCTATTGTGAACTCAACACCGTTTGTGCATCCCTCAAGACGGCAAGAAACGACGGGAGTTGACAGTGACCACTTTTTCATCTGCAATCATTGCACAGATATCCTAATCATGTGGAATCTCAAGCATTTAAAATGGAGTACGTCATCGCTCCTAGAACTTCGTTCATTGTCTATCATACTTTGTTTCTAGATCCACTTTGTGCTGTCGAAAAGTACACCTACTCTTTTCGAAGTCCTCTGAGGTGAAAGGATCAAAATTAGTCTATCTATTGGGCCTTGATGGAATTTGACGTGTAAACTATGTGTGAAAAAAGCCAACTAAACAACCAGCGATAACAAATTTGTAGACAGGAGAGAGAAGATAGAGGAGATGGTGGCACACATGAGAACATACCAAGGATTTCCCCTGTGGTTCGATCGAGGCGGTATATGTAGTGGTCCTCACCACCACACACGAGTGTGTTGTCAGTCGGATGGATACTGACTGAGTTCACGTTACACGGTAAGTTAAACGACGCTACTGGATCTGGGCTCGCGGATGTATTTCTCCAGTCATACAGGTACAAATGAACGGCAGCGCCGGCCGCTACAGATGCCAAAGTCTCACCGGTATGTTCGTCATTTGGATGGTGAAACTGAAAATCCTTGACTGCAAGGCCACAAGACCTTGACCAGCAAGGGGCGTTGATCACTGGATTTTTCTTCCGGTCCTTCAAATCCCACAACCTGGTGAGTGACAAATCAGGAAATGGTTATCTGATGATATAAGTGAAAGATGGAGCAGCTGGTATACCAATTTCAGGTCAGCATACTGTAGCAGGAACGTAGTATTTGTATCGGTGGATTAGATCGACGTGCGTTGTTAATGATTTTGCCTCAAATAGTCACTAAATGATTAAAGTAAACCGTACCTCGGATCAATTGGCCCACTAAGGACACTAAAGACAAGAAACAACTGACCGAAGTCGACAGACCTTTCTGAAGGAAGAAGCATTTCTTACAGACTGCGGAATGGTGGGACAGGCAAAATCTATCACATAGTAGGGTGATGAACGTTCGCAACCAATTAGAACCGGGAGCCAATTGGTTCAAAGACAGCATCGATGCCTCGAGGAATCACATGTTCATTTATGAAGCCAGCTTATCTCATCTTAAAAATTGCCTGCCGATAAAATTAGCGAACGTGATAAAAATGGCCAAGGATTCATGGACCACGCATTGCGGTAGACTGATCAGTATGAAAATCTCCCGTTTCAGCTGTACCGAAATTGTCACACTTCACGACCACATACATTAGGTTTGTAGCGGATCTTACGATGAACTATGTTAACTAGAAGTTGTTTTTAAACCAGTTTGATGAATACTACCGGCTGTAGACTCTGACCCAAAACTGTATTTGTTCCAGATAGTCTAGTTTTACCAACGAGACGACAAGAATAGGCGGTAAATTCCACCAGCGGCAGTGTTGCTCATATGGACGTTGAAGCAACCTAGCTTTCTAACTATCCATCCCTGGTCCAGTGGTCAAAACGACAAGATAACTGGGGGTCGCCTGTGATTACAACCGACTGTTCATCGGTTCCATCATATATCTATGGTGGCGACCTTCACTACTAGTTCAGTTCCAAGTTGTTGATAATCTAGGTGGCATCAGTAGAACTCTTGCGCAAGAAACTCTGGTGTATGGAACATCATCCATGGATGTCATTCAAGTAAGCTGACCTGTTCACACGGAAATCTACCTTCCATCACAGACTATATTCACAAGATCCGACCTGGATTCTGAGTCAGGCTATGAACCACAGTGACCGCACAGTACAATCAGCTCTCTTAGCTTTCGGCTTTTCTTGAGCGAGAATCGGGCAAAGATAGTCCACAAAATGAATCTCCGTGTGGGTATCTAGAAATTATCAAACACCATGACAATGCCAGTATTGGCTACATGCGGTAATCCAGAAACAAATCCATCGACATGATTAGATAATATGTCACATCTACAGAAGTCACATTCTCTGTACGCATTGTACAGTCGAATAGGTGGGTACTTTGCATGTGAGAAAATGCGGCAGGCTATCAGACGCAGGTAGCGAATATTCGGCGTCAAATGAACAATTAGGGAACAATTTTACAAGACAACTAACAGTGGTGTGCTGAGCTGGAGGCTTGGAATACACCTAGTAATATTTGTCGCAAACTAGTGATAAAAGCTTTAGCAGATATCCAGGAGGTGGAAACAGTAGCTGAAGAAAGGGAATTACAGCCGCTACGGATGGCTGAAAGCAATATGACCACCAAAGCACGTTAAACGACAAGAAGACTGTGTTCGTGCCGTTCTGTCTTGATGTCCCGGGGACCGGTAACCTTATGTGGAATAGTGCCTCCGAACAAAGGGTCGATCCGTGCATGCCTCATCGCATCTCCTTTTAGCGTCAACATCAATACAGCTCGCTAAAAGATTTCCACACTCACGCTCAAAAGTTCTGAAACAACGCTGGAGAGTGAAATCCGCTTGCAACAAAAACAGTTATTTTACAAACGACGGATGACCTTGAGATTACAGAAAACTTGTTCTACAACCTACAACCCGTTGTTCACATAAATTGATTTCACTTCTTGTGCGGCACACCAAATTGTATATCAGGACTGGAAGCGACATGTGACGGAGCAACTGGGGACAAACGCAAGACAGTCTTATAGTTAACTGCAGCCTCATCGTTGTCTTGTTAACTATACTGGTTCCTCCAGGGAAAGCCCTCTGAAAAACAGGTTAATCCCAAGGAGAGTCCGCTGCTAACATTCTCTGCCAAAGATTCTATGAGGTGTTCCATTCCAGGAGAGGCCACCCCGATCTTCTTAGATAGTTCACAATTATAAACACAAAACGGGGGCATCAAGATCCACATCACAGCTGTGAAAGGCATCCATTGTCCGGCACGAGCAAACGCACATGCGGTTTCCGAAAGGTCTGGAACCTGTTTAATCAAATTAACCTAGCTGGACGATTCAAATCTTGAGATGCATTGTCACCGCCCGACACATCGAGTCTTACCTCAAATTTGAATAAAAAATATGGGGCTTAGGTTTCTCCTTCCCAATACTACTCCTGTGGCGTCATTAATCACGCACTAGACGCCTATTGTAGTGCTCATGTACTAGTTGCTGGTTTTACTGAATGATGGGAAATGGCAAAGAGAAGATACAGGTGACCTTCCGAGTTCAGATGGAATTTGGATGCATCCCTAGTTTGTCATTGTATTGTCAAAGTCTGCATATGGTATTGTTCCCGGAAAGGCGATTAAAACTGGTGTCACAAAACGCGGTGTTAGAAATTTTACCCTGGAGCTCTCCAAGTGTTAGACTAAAATGGATGATTAAGTAAGATTTCGTGGCCGGTGATCAGATAACTCCGAAAGTGAAAATTCCGACAGACCTGTATTGGAAAACAAGACTCAAAAAGTTGGGACCGTAGATAACATCCTCGTAAAATAACCAGCCCACCAAACTAACGGCAATGACTTTTGGTGAAGATTGGAAAAATTCATTACGAGTCGTACTGATATGATACCAACTAAATAAAAAAAAACTGGATAGTTTGTCAAGAAAATATCACCGCACGATTCTACTTTTTTCGATTTCTAACACTAGTGTTGAACCAAACGGAGTCTGGAGTCCAAATGATCTTTTCTCTGTGGTGACTGGCCTTCCGAAAAGTTGCTGTATCCCAGTGGACACGACCAAGACCGACATGCATCATATTGTAACCCTGTCCTTGCACAGTAAAGTGGTAGCACTCAATGAAATGGAGTCAGAGAGTTACGAATAAAAGATACCCTCTTTGATTATGAGCAAGAACGAAAACCTTGAGGAAAGCTGGGTCCACTAGTTCTACTCCGGACCATGCTCGCTCGTGATGAGTTGAGTGAACAGATGCAGCGATACCGAAGCACACATTCAAATATGGGACGCTGTAAATGAGTAAATCAGAAATATCCCGTAATGGGTTAGAGCGTGATGTTTGGTCAAGCTAATATGCTTACTTGATTGTTGCGTCTTCCGATGCCGTGAGTAAATGACGGTCTCCATCACACCAAAGAGTTCGTCGGAGAAATTCATCATGCGCTTGCAGTTGAATGAGAGCTAGGAATAAGACATACGAAATGAAAAGAATTTTCAGCGGAAATTTTACCTTGTAAGTGAAGGCAATCTGGGCTGAAAGGCCGAGAATCTGTTCCATCCTTACTAGTACAAGTACTCAGTCAACTACAGAAAGTTTCGAACTCTCGACCTCCTAGCTAGTAGCTGAACAGTTAATTGTTTGGGTTCGAGCAGCATTCAGTAGTATCATCAACTCGCACCTAGACAGGAATTGCCAGTTTTGTTCAGTTTTAGCATTAAAGTTATGGAGTAGTAATCTGTGGTGACATCTCTTGGACAACGAAAGTGAGAGGATGGGAGACACGGAGTATGCGAACTGACGCTCATCATCATCATCGTCATCATCAATATCAGCTATAAGAACCGTGTACTTGCCGCAGTGGCTATAACTGCCACAGTTTCGTCCACCGACGAGTTGGGGAGGTGGAGGGGTAGCTGCGAATTTTAGGTGGGAGCTGATATATTGGTGCGTAAATATAGGTCTGTCAGTGGACCTGACGCTAGGGTGTATACTGGTGTAAAGACTTCGCAAGATGATCGAGACCCAGTGGTGAATAGTACCTTGAATGTTGCTCAGCTGACTATACCGATACTTAGGTCGTTCGAGGGAAACACTGTCTGGTCATTCGCATGATGAAATAATCTGTTTGACATCCAAGAACTACAGGCGTAACCCAACGGCGAATTCCTAGAACGGTTCTGCCACTACCTCGCTTAACTGCATTTCGAATCTTTAGAATACGGTTGTTTCAATAAACCCTTTCGAGAGTTCCTCTTTTACCATTAGCAGAGTCGAAGGCGTGAAATCCAAATGACAGACATTATGTTGGATTTTAGCCAGTCTATCAGTCACATGACAGACCAGGTACGTTTTGGCACTCAGCTGTTTCTTACGAGCTTGAATGAACTAATATCCGCTCTATAGTGTCAAGCCATCAACAGACTGAGAAGCCCTTGGTAGATAATTCTAGATTGGAATCAGTCACATCATGGAATACTGCGTCGCTGGCTGACAACCATGCAATAATGACGCCGCACGATACCGTTAGCTAGGTCCCACCACATGCTGAATACAGCGGGGCGAGTAAGCGAGGACATATTGCTTCTTACACATTCACATACTCCTTCTCCATTCTATCGTGTTAGCAATATTAATCCCTGTAGATTCCAGCATCATAAATGACAGCTCTGTCTTCGTCCACTTAGTGGCGACTTCAGAGCGTTCATCAGTTTCAGACACCAGGAAACCAATTTGAACACACCGAAGCCCATTACACTGAGCTGTCCTTAATGTTCGAACACCAACCCAGCTAGGATAACGAGTTGCTCTTGCTTGTGCGCTGGATTCGATGTGCACTGATTCATGCTGTCCGTCAGGAACAAAAATCCAGGACGCGAGTACTGCAATTAGGACGATTGCCCATTTCTCAGCGCCTGATTCCGACCTCCATTCACGACAGGGAAAGCCCCAAGAACAGAGGTATATGTGTATATGTCATAAGGCAGGTCTACTAATAGCACGACCGAGTGAGAATTTTTATCAGAAAATTCGCACTGAGTTGGAAGTTATGTGCAAGGTGACACGGCAAATTCAATCTAGTGATAGATATCGTTTCTGCACGTAACCGGAAAGCAAAACCTACGAACCGTTGTGAATGCAGTCATTCACATCGTGGGCTTATTATGAGCCATTCGTTCAGTAGCTGGTAACGCCGGTTCGATATCCCAATCTCATTGTCAGTCACGTGGCCCTCTGTCAACGAAACGCTTAACTCCAGTCCATGTTGGCGTCAGTTAATTTCTTGTATTCCCAGACTTCAGTTCAGGAAGATATGTCTTACACACAAACATAATTAAGTAAATAGACATGTGGTTGCAAAAAACAAAAGAAACACTTTCTAGGTTAAATGACGCACCTCACAGTCGAGCGTTATATACGGAAGTGAACGTTTTGCCGCACTACTGTCAACTAGGAATGTGTTCTCTGAATCATCTGTCACAGATGGTAGTTATAAATGATTCATCTCTTGTCACGGTGACCTATCTAAGCTAGCAACCGATAAGGACAATTTTAATTTTTAAAGATAAGGCTCGAATGATAAGATATGGTGAGAGAAGTATAAGGATGAAAATTCATTGCTCAGAAATTGGATACCACGCCTAGTGTGTTGTGGATAACGACAGCGTACTTCAACGATGCACTCCAAACCCTTCGGTATGAATAGCTTTATGACAAAGAGAAAGCTCGTAAGGTCGTGCGTGCATTCCAGGTCAATAGGACAGTTTCCTAAGATACCTCGAACATCTGGTTGCATGGACCAAGTTGATGCAAGTGATGAAGTCGGGGACTGAAATGGCACAGGGCGAACACAGAAACCCTAATCTATAAGGATGGTTTCAATAACAGGCCGCGACAATCAGTGTGACGGGCTTAAAGAAACACAGTCACTATTCCACTAAAGATCTCTACCGGAGATGCGTAGCAGTTTACAATTCAATTGGGTTAACGGGGGAAGACTGTAATGATATGTTCCTGCAGCTCATCCTGCTGTACGAGTAAGAAAACAGCCAAATGAAAAACGAGGCGGCCTTTGTGCAGCACACGCAGTTGAAGCGGAGCACGATGCAGAGAAGAGCCTCTCATCAAAACCAAATTCGCGTGTAAATAAAAGTATTCGTCAAAAGCTGTCCAATTTGGACGCAAGTAGAACATGGATTTGGGAGAAACTCGGAGACTGCGCTTACTTGATGAGCCCCAAGAAGGGTAAAACAGGTCGTGGATTGTCAGAGTTTTCAGCAAATTTACGAGTAGTGTGTTACGTTTATATAGTGTACTGCGATATCTCGAATATCCTACCAACTGAAAAACGAGACGACCTGGTACAGCGCGTACATTTGAGGCGGACCACCATAAACGGTAGAATCAGGTGGTTTAAATTGGGTTATCTATTAGAAAAAAATCGTGCACGAATGAGAGTAGTTGCTGAGGCACACTAATCTCCTGAGGCTGAGGCTATTCCAGAGACAGCTTTTAGTCGGTCTTTCCAGGTGTTCCCCACCGGAATGGTTCAAAGCGATACGCAATTAGCAACACATGTTCCTTCTCTTAAAACTAATCTAAATCGTTTGCAATTATAGTCCCAAAAATGACTTGCATTATTGATTTTATGAACGAACACCAACGAGCGAGGAAATGAAGCCTGTGGTTATGATCCAAGGAGATGTCGCAAAAGATGTCAAATAGATGACAGGAGAAGTTGTGTGTGAAGTGGCACATTGCTTTTTATTGATTAAAATGCACAGTCTCCCTAGACACTGTTTCAGTCAAGCAAAAACAATAAGAATAGAGCGCAACAGTGTCTGACGGGAAAGCAGTGGCTAGGAAACTCACGTTTTGTGGGTGCTATCAAATCGTAAACGGAAATCTTTTTCGCATTATTGGCAGTAGCCAAGAAGGCGCCAGAGTCAGTTTTACTCAGATCTGTGCAACGAACAACGTGTTCTTCCGTTATGGATAGTAGCTGTTGACCGGATACGGTGTCCCAAAGTTTGGCCGTAAAATCGGCAGCACCAGTGGCAGCTTTGGTAGCATGTGCGTCAAGAACACAAGACCAAACGGCGCCTTCGTGGCCCAGAAACGTCCCGATCCAATCGCCTGTGTCACCGCGACGCAGAATTGCCTTACAGTCTGTAAGGAAAAGTGAGTATGACGGAGGCGCTGAAATGGTATGGGAAAATCAGTGCAAGGAGTACGAGACAAAAAATCCGAACTTTGCAAAAGGTGTGGCAGACAGCCGACTATTCTGCTGCTAAGTTGGGCAAAACACACGTGTAGTCACATGTCAGAGAGTTGTTACACCTTAACACGGCACAATTCTGCCTGCAATCGAAAGATACATCATCTTCCTGAGTGGGTAATTAACAAGCCGAAAACCTAGATTCATCCAACGTGAGGCACTAAGACGGATTGGAACACTGTAAAATCTCTATTGGGAATGTGCGGCAGTGTGCGATTCATTGGATTTGAGGAGATTTCGAAAACAACCTACAAGAGTGTTGTTGAATATCCCGCGGCATGTTTCTGGCCTAAAGCCGCTATAAAATGGGACAAAATCTTATTGGGACCTGATTCACCCGAAATTGCACACAGCCAGCAACTACGTGTTTCAAGTTGTATTTCTGAAATTAGGAGGCCCGTTTATTAGGTCTGAATATAAAAACAGACTGACAGAAAGCTTAGTTGGAAGGAGGCTTTATTCCACTGTATCGCATGGATCATCTACCGTGGATTACTTAGTCGTCTGAAGTACATTGTAATCAGTCCAGATCTCTCCACTGAAAACAATTAAGTTAGGCACAACCGCTTGGATTTGCTTATCTTTCATTAGCTCGCTTGCCTCTCAACTCTTTATTTGTTTGCCATCCGTTAGCAACTGAGAACTGGAGGGAACTTAGTGGTTAAGGAGCAAACTTACTAAGCGCAAGGTCAACGGTTCGGATACGACTTCTGCATTTCGATTGCTCGTCTAGACCTTGGCAATCCGACAGTATCTACGGTTTCGGATGATATGATGGCTAGGCACCGGAAGGGTGCTATAGTTCGATAATTCATCCATTCCTTCTTCATCATTTTACAAGGAATATTCGCCGCTATCTGTCATGGCCCTGTAAGTCTCTAAGCGTAACAACTGATTCACAGAGCTTTTTGATATTAAGACAACCGACTCATATGGTACTCCTTCCTTTTGAAGCAAATATGAAAAACCAGAACATACTTTTAGTTACTCAACTGGCTGCAGATATCTAGCTAAGATATAGAATATCGAAATATGTAAGGGGTCAACGAAATCAGGAACAACATGAATTCTTTTAAATGCTGAACTCGCCCTTCGCTGCCGTGATGAACAGTGTGCCACAGTCCGTTTCCACGCTAAAGTAAATATCCACAACGGGCCGCGTGTGCCCAGGACAGGAGATCGGAGCTTGTTTAATCGCGGAAGACATCGTAGGTGTGCGAGGTATCAGGATGCAGTGGGAAAGTGTTTGGCTCCCCGATCAACAGTGGCTAAAGTTGGTGAAACAGCACAGAACGGTGTAAGAATAGGATTATTCGGAAACCACAACTACTGCTATCGCGTTTCAAAAATGGTTGGGTTATTCATTTCAGTTTGGTCAATACTGATAAGCTAACTACCAAACGCAAACTAGTTATCGCCACTACTTCCGTTCATCGACAGTGAGTGGGAAAGATGAGATACATACATAATCACAAATCCTAGTCATCACCAACTGTGAACTTCGTACTTATAGTGCAGTGATTACAGCTGCCAAAGTTTCGTCTGCCGATGACCTGGAAAACAGTACTTGGTAGCTATTCACTAACAGCAGTAGCTGACGCGTGAATACAAGAGTAACCGGGGCTTTTCTTTGAGGAAGTCGGAAACATAGGCTATTAGTTGAATGCGATAAATTGGAAGCAACCACGCCAATGGGCGCGTATCTCGGAAGTGTCTCTGACTATTGATATGTCTCTCTTCTGGATCCCTATCCAGGAAGAAAGTAATGATCAGCGCGGCTGAGTTTGCTGGTAATGAAGTTTGAGCTTCGCCGCGAGGCCGTTGCTTCCCCCCTCTGGTTCGTTTCTACCATCAGCGCGGTTGCCCGAATGGGCTCTCCGAGGAGTCCACTGTATGACAAACGAAGGTGACCAAGCCGACACAAATTGTGGAGTGCGGTCAGCTCATCCATCACATGAAAATTATTTCCCCTGAAGACCATTTGACGTACCTCAGGATTGCTGACGTCATGTTCCCACCAGATTCGGGAAATGCTCGGGAGACACCGATGGTAAAACACTCAACTTTTAACCTCCTCACTGCACAGTTATGAAACATAACAATATGGGACGCACCGCAGCATTCTAAAGCTTGGCCACTTGCAGATAGATTGATGTCACGCCCGCGCGACAGGTGATTGAGGTTGAAAATTTGCTCTGGATTTCCCGATCCGGGTGGAAATATGGTCCTTCGCTAGACCACTGGGACCGACTAGGTAGAAAAAACCTGCCTACTAACTCAACCGGCACATCCGCAAGCCTACGGTTCGCGCTCAAATCCACTCGGTCTCGCATCAGCATCTCACAAAGCAAATCGCGGAGCATAATTATTTGGATTTATTAGTCTGTATTACCATGAAAACAGATCCAAGGCGTACGTCGTCAGGATGCTGGGTATTGGTGAGCGAACGCACTAGGGGCACTTCAACCCCCCATGATCATATCGATGTCGAAGTTGAGTAGGAAAGGTGTAAGACAAAAACAAATGAGGTAAACTCAGATAGAAGCTTTTCGCGAACCTTCACGCGTCCACGGGAATTAGCATACAGCACTTTGTGTAGAGTCAAGAATCGATGGGGGGTGCCTTTGCTAAACAGATATTGCCATGGAGCTCGACGATCCACAACGTAACAGTAAGCCTATAAGCCATGAAGGACGAGAACTGCTGGTTTCTGGAAACAATGTCGCAGTTCCGGAATATGCCAGGGGATGGATATGTGATCAGCTCACCCTACTTCAGGGCGAAATCCTATTAGTTTTCAAGTTTCTCCTTGTTTAAGTAAACCTTCAAAGAATAAAGCCAGAGAGCCACACCTGCCAGGATAACGTCACGATGGTTTCCAATGGGTGTGCCTACCCGTTTGAGATAGGGATGGTTAGGGATACATCCTCTACTATGGGCACTTTCTCGTCACTTTACATGTCACAGTCACCACCAGAGGAAGCAACATCAGTGCTTTCACTGGTGTTCCATTGCTGTACAACCTAAGTTAATTTAATTATATCATCACTACCATTGACAGCATGGCGAGTGTTTAACACCAATACTTAACTTTGATGCCATACAACCATGATTTATTTCAAAGTCTTATTGTGAAGAAAAGAATAAAGGTGGGCGGGGGAAGGGACTTAGTGATAGCTTACTACAATCATTCGTAGGTGCCCACACCTCCAGACACTCATTCGGGCAATCCGACAACAAAAAAGCCACAACCATATCTTGCAGCGTTCCCAACCACGCGCAGTGGGGATCAAGCGATCCCCACCCTGGAAGGCGAGTAGCACCGACAACACCCAAGCGTTTCGTGACCTCCTTCATACTCCTCTTCCAAGTCAAGGGTTGGCCACCTCCTCGTTTAAGCCACTCTTAATTGGGCATGGAAAACAGCACTCTCTTCGGCAAACGATGGTTCGACATACGCAACACATGTCCAAACCAGCGCAGCTTCTGGTGCCGGACACACTCTTCAATAGAAGCACCCGTTGCACAACCGAAAACCCGCTTTTTAACTGTTTCGTTACGGATTCACCGATAGCGACCCACACGAGTTATGGTCCGGAGATAACGATTGTTGAACACCTGAAGACGTCTCAGTTCCGCTGCTCGAACAGGCCAAGCCTCACAGCCATACAACAAAACAGCCCACACCGTAGCCTGACATAAGTCCCAAGGATATAGCGCTTCAATGCCATAAGAGTCTCGAAGTAACAAAAGTGACCCGAGCCTTGACCTCATCGGTCACGCAACAATCAGAACTTCCGAGATAAGTAAAACGCTCCATAACTTGCAGTACCTCTCCCTGGATTGACATTGGGTGCATGTCTAGGAGCATGACCTGACACTGTGGGTGCAAAGTGAATATCAAAGGATGATATGAAATTGGTCAATCATCCAAAAGCATCTGGGCCTTCCCCCCCCACCTTTGAAGACGAGAACGATGCCATCTACATATTCCAGATCGACAAGATTTCTGTCACATGCTATTTGAACATCGATGTTTTGGAGACCTTCCAGCGTTCAACTCATGAGTTCATCAAGCACGAAGCTGAACGTGAATCGAGTGGGCATCCCTGAAGGACACCGTTCTGAGTACGGATGATTTCTGAGAGAGCACTGTGTACCCTCACACGTCTTGAAGTCTGAGAATACAAAGAGCTCATATTCACGAACTTCCGAGGCATTCCTTGGTGGACAAGCGTGTCAAGAAAAGACAAGTTAACGAAGTCATATAAGCCTTAGAAAGCCAGGGATACTAGAATTGTGGATCGCGTATACGTATAGCGTTGTTCTAGCACCTGACGCAGTGTGAAGATTTGGTCAACGCAACCCCTACCAGGCCGGAATCCCGCTTGCTGCTCTCGGATCAGTATCTCACGAGCCACCGTAAGGGGACGAAGCACAATTGACGCCAACGGTCTCGTTACAACCAGGGTCAGGCTGATCCCCCTGTGGCTACCACACTCACTACGCGCCCCTTTCCTGAAAACGGGCACTATCACTGATTCTCCCCAGTTGTCTGGGACAGACTGCTTTTCCCAAATGCAAGCAAACAGATCTGACAAGCGCTGACTGAGGACTTCACCCCCGTCTTTGAACAGTGCGGGTGGAAGGTCATCCGGACCGGGAGCTCGGTGGCGCTTGAGAGAACGTATGCAGTCGTAAACCTCCGAGGCCGTAGGTGGTTCCACGTTCACCGTCCAGGGTTCTAGTTCACCTGTGGGTTCTAGATGAGTGCCGGCTGGTGGCCACGACAGTTGTTGTTCGAAGTATCCAGCCCACCGGTCGAGTTCTTCTTTATTTAAGATGGTCGTTCCGTTCTGATGTTTGGTTTCGCTCACAGGTGGTTTCCGGGGACCGGTCGCATGGATCAACTGAAATAATCTCCGGGCATTACCGGCTTTCTGGGCCTCTTCCATTCCTTTGGCTTTCTGTGTCCACTATACTTCACGGTCGAATGCAAGCTCACTTTCACTTGACGTCTAGTAGCTCTTCGCACCGGGTTATGTTCGGGATCGGTTGGGATATTCCTCTGAGATTTAAGCAGTGACACTGTTCGGTCTGATATCCAGCGCTTGAGTGTTCTTGTTGGTGCCGTTCCACAACATCCGGATCTGCCAGTCTTTCAGTTGCCATGCGATTTGTCCGCACCTTACGCGGCCCCGGGAAACGTAGGGAGAAGCGACTCCGGACGAGCGCGTGGTCAGAGTCCACAAGGGTGTTCCAAAACGACCGGCAGTCAGTTATGTATCCGCGCCATGGGTAACTGATGGCAATGTTGTCTATTTGAGTTTGTGGCCGGCCTGTTGGAGGACACCAGGTGGCCAGACGACTTCGGCTATGTCGGAAGTTCGTACTGCATAAAAACAGCCTCCGATCAGCACACAGCTGAAGCAATCGTTCCCCATTGTCCGTACGTACCGAGTTCAGTCCATGTCGACCTCCTAACTGAGTCTCAAACGCACTTGCGCACTCATATCTCCGGCAACCGCCACAATGTCTGAGCTTTTAACTCGCCGCAACTCGACATTCAAGGCATCGTAAAAAATGTCTTTGGCGGCGCCAGAGCTGCAGTTGGCTTGTGAGATTCCTTCAAACGTTGCCAGACGAACTATCAACAGGTATTCAGTCAAGCAAGGATACTTCCTCCCGGTGAGTTAGGACGACACGAAACCTTGCACATCCTGCCGCAGCAGCCCCTGGGTCACCAGAGGTTCGTAGCCGGAAGTGATTGAAAACTGGTGGGACCGTTAGATCAACCACTGTGCTTGCATTTTAAATTCTTGTTTCTGAGACACAACACACACCAATGCCAAGCGAGTCCAGAATGAGGGCAAGAGCAGATTCTTGTCCTGCTTGCTTCACAGTGCGGACATTGAGGGCGGCCAGATAGACTGGGCTGCAGGCCTGAAGACTGGTTTGGAGATACCTGAGGTCGGCATCATATGACGAGCAGATGTTGCACGCAAAACCGACGCAAGACGAACGGAGTCATCAGTCCTAAGTGCCGGGCCTATAAGGAGAGTTATCAATGGGGTGAGGAGAGGAGTAAGGAAACGTACGTGAAAGAGCAAGAAGGGAGAGTCCGCAGCAGTCTGTTTTCGTCTACCCGCCATGCAGTATTCGGCGAGTTAGGTGACCCAGCTGATGGCATCACGCGACGGCCGATGT